CACGACTATATATATATATATATATATATATATATATATATATATATTATCACGCATATCTCATAATAACATACCTACAGTATAAATATATGCATGCAATGGGTTATATAGACACGAGCCCCCCCCCCTGCGCTACAGAGTCTTACACGCGGTCAACCATAATGCAGTGTACAGTTAAACGAGCAAAGAGGATAAAAACACCAGAGCTGGAAAGCTATATATTCCATTACTGTCTGTGTTCACTAAAAAAATATATTAATTTCGCCCCTGCAGCTTCGTGGGAGTAATCGGAATTAATTTTAATCGATCATATAAGTAATATCGGAAAGTCCAGCTGTGTTATTTAGGTAATAGAAAAAGGGGGTATAAAATGGCCGAGGCGCGCTTAGGAAAGTATGATTAATGTAAACATTCGTGCGTTTTTAGTTTTTGCATTAACACAAACATTGCAAAATATCCCAAATGGCCACAATCCTATTTGTAAACAGAAACGCACCTGTGAATTGAAGTACGATGTTAGTGAAGAGATTATAGATAAAAAAAACCTAGACTAGTACTATCGTAACTATGTTATATATAGGTACTATATATATATACTTATCACCCCTCTTATCTGATCTCAATATGGTGGCGGGAACTTTCAGATATGGCTTATTGGCCTACCGTGTCGTTGCAATACTGTGGTGCAGCTTGCACTTACACATTTTTAGACATTACAGGTAACACACATTGACAGGTAAACCTATACATCTTTTACCTCCTTTCTTTACTTTACTAGTGAACATTAGCATTTCAGTATCAGTCTCTCTGCTGTGACCACCTTTGCAAGATTCTGATGACTTGCCAATCTTAGATATCCTCAATTCTCCATTCTGGGTTGATCCTAGACGATAAATAAAGAGTTGCTACGGTGAATGATAGCGAACATGACCACAATTCGACGTCACCAATTAACGTTTTAGTAATAATGCATTCTATTACAGGAGCCACTCAAGTAAACTCATTTTGCCTATGAATGCGACCACATGGAGATACGTAGCAGGAACGTCATTCGCACTTACTTTGGTTGATTACCTCACTAGAAAAGACAGGACTGCACAACTGGGGGCCGGTCGAGCCATCGTCATTCAGCGAATATGCTTCAAACTTGAGAACCACAATGTGCTGCCCGTCAAATTTTTTAAGCCTCATAATTTTCGACTTCAGCTCTTTGTCGAGCTGCGTCCTGACAGCAGCTGTAAAACCGAAATATATAGGTTGTCCAAGATTACACGATGTTGCCTCCTTTGGCAGTGCAAGCTGGTAAGGACAAGCTGTAAATTTTACATTCATGCCTAAACATCTACTTGCTAGCAGCAGCTACCTACCTACAGGTAGTGATGGGAATCGGTTGGAATTTCATCATCGATCATTATGTGCAGAACAAAGAAAGGGCCGCAGTGTTCCTATAAACCGTAAGTATGTGCACAGTGCTCATGATCATGTCATCATCTATCGTGAAATGCTATAGGCTATAAAAAGGGTCAAACATTCAAAGTTTTGCATTCTTGGTGAATTCTCTATGACGTTTGGGGTCGCAACAGGCTAACATGATATACAGGGTAGGTATTCGTCCGGAAAACCTACGGGGAGTTCTGTAATTTTAAAATGACATTTTACATGCCTAAACTGTTCAGGGTAAAGTTCTATTATTATGATTAGTCCTGGAAAGTTGTGGAAATGTTGTCACATCTCTATTAGGTTCATATTTTACCAATGATAACTAACAAGTTTAATATACTTAAGATTATGCTATTTACTGAGAATGAGGGAATGATGTTTGCTGTATGCAAGAGTTTCTTCACTAAGCATTACATGGAAAATACACGAGCTAGAAATATTGTGATTTGGCTCAAATCTCAGGGTACAGGAAAGTGGAACGTCCTAGGAAATTCCTGGTAAGAACTTTTGCCATTTATCAGGCTCTTTGGCAATCACTAATGTTGGCAGGAGTATGCCACTTTAGGTACCTGCAGGCAGTGACGTCCCGATGATTGATTATAAGCGCTCGATTGGGAAAATATATAATCGATTATCAAAAAAAAATTGCAAACATTGATGAAATGACTTTATTTTATTTGTGTGTGTTTGTTTTGGTTATATTTCTAACCTACGCGAAACATAAGCAAGTATACTGTTACACAGCTTTAAGAATATTGTATCATAAAAATACTCTATTAAATGATATATTTCAATATCTGGTAGCCGCGATCAATAACGTTCAACCGATTATCTTCGATTATCGATCGGTTGGGTGCAATCGCCAAAATGATGGTAAAGTGTACCTTAATCACTATACTTGCATAGACTCTGCTGAAGTGTTTTTTTCTGGTATCTATTTTTTCTTCATGTTGTCTTAATCACTTTACTAGTACAGAATATGCCGAAGTTTTTTTGTGTATATATTTTTTCTTCATGTTGTATAGCATTATAATTGTATTGTATCCGTCAGAAATTTTTATCATTTTAACTACTCAACACTATTGCTTTTATCAGATTTTTTCTCCGTGAAAAAAAACTGTCGTCAGTACATGTATTTGTATCTGAATTCATGCAATAAAGATTTAATAATAATAAAATTTGTTGTCTTTTTAGGTTCAGTGACATAGCAGTTACGATATTTCCACAGAAGATGCTGACGGATATGCACTTCAAAGAGCATATATGTTTGTGTAATATGTATATAATGGTGTACGTATGAGTGCGCACACTTATATTTATATAAATATGGACATACTGTTAAATGCAATAGTGTTGAGCAGTTAAAGTGATAGATTTTCTGAGTGATACAGTACAAAATAGTGCATACAACATGAAGAAAAAATAGAAACCAGAAAAAAAAATTCAGCAAAATCTGTACAAGTAAAATAATTAAGGTACACTTTAACATCTTTTGACACTCATACGTACACCATTATATACATATGACAATGACATACATTACATATTTCATACACAT